ACCAGGAAACCAGATTACCCATTTTCGTCAACTTCGCAGCGTTTGTGACAGAACTCGGAAGAAAAGAGATCAAAGTACCCGGAGGGAGCATAGTCATTACCACAGAGGACAGAAAACACCGGTCTGAGGGGGGCAGCTAGTCGTGAAAACGATCCTTGGTCGGGTCTGAAACAAGTCGTTTCAAGGTAGTAGCAGCATCTTTCGCTATTCTTTTGCGAATTGGCGCTAACTGTACAGGTTTTACATACCCCGTTCGCGAAGGCCTTCGGTGATGCGTTAAATGGGATTGGTTGAATACAACAGTAGTTCCCACAGTCTCCCCAGTAATTGGTGAATATAAAGTAGTCGGAATCTCTGCTCATGACGGGACACTGCAACTTGATTGCCAGTTCTGCAACTGCATTGTCAGCCTCGAAGTCCACGAAGGCGAATTTCATGTTGAAGCGCTTCAGAACAGCCACAAATACAGCATAGATCAGAAGGCATTTCAAGTCTGGACGCTCCACACTCTCGACGGATATTCCGCTAAAACTACATGAGTCTTGAAAAGCGGCCATAATTTGGAGATTGGCTGCAAGTCGCTTTACACACGTGTCGAGCTTTGTGGGCTAGAAATATTAAAATGATTAGCCAATTACAACTGAGCAAAATAGTAAGGAAAATATATACGACAATTGATTGAAAAAAGTGTTGTCTCATCAATCATATTAATGAAATCATTTAAGTGAATTTAGCTTCGAGAAGAGAAGCAAGAAAAAACGGGTGTAATCGCATGAATGCCATATTTGCACACTGTGGACTTTGGCTCGCAGCCAGATGACAGTGACCTGAATACATTAACCCTGGCGGTTCGATACGAAGAAACATGATTTAAGCTGTCAGGGCACTCGCACGTTTAATGGCAAAAGTCTGCACATAACCGGTGGACATTGTTGTTGCTTGAAAACACAAGATTTGCCATTTCAGTGATTACCGCATTACGTACAGCAATAGTCTCATTAGCTTTCATTTTATTTCAAAACATACAATTTTAGTGGTATCACCCAGCCATACTCAAACGTAGATGTTGAAACACCTGCAGTGGCCTCTAGCGGCCACTTGGAACCCAAGATCAGCCGCTGACGCATGATGCCTTTGGTCTGCAAGGCCCACTTGTCCACGCCAGCATTCGCCCATATGAAGGTCGCACCACGACCAATAGTCTAGACATTAACCACGCGATTGGCAGCTGTAACAAAGCATGTGCCAGCATTCCGGCGATTTCCGACGCTCTCGCAGACAGACTGCAGTCATCCGAGAATCAAAACTTTCCATCTATCCTCCTATCCTGCCGTGCAGAATATATTATTCCTAGCACTCTGGCCCTGAAACCTTCTCTCTCTTCTCTCCTAAGGAACCATGGTCTGAAGATCACAGTTGCTAGAGTTTATCTTATTTAACCCCCTGCGATATACCTAAAGTGCAATAATTAGTTCGTTAGACTTCGAAGCAAGAGGTCATGGGTTTGAGCATAGGGTTAGGAGCTAAGTATAGCTTTCTGATGAAGGCTAATACGCCAGAAATGGCCCTTCTAGCCTTCATGGCCTTTGCCGGCAATGACCACTGGCTTACAATTTTACTGCTGCAAGCTATCAGTCCCAAACCGTCACCGCCAGCGGTTGCTAGGTAATTACATAAGAAGTTTATGTGTTTTTTTACAATTAACTGAGGTTTTTTTGACGAAATGCACATAAATTGTCTGAGAACGAATAAGAACAGGGCGGTTCATAAAATATCGACCGGAATCCTGAAATGCATGTTAAATTCCAATAACATATGTGTGCATGATTGTGCCATTGATTACCCTACAGTATGATCTCAAATTATTCTAGTCAATTCAGAAGGCCGGCTTTTGAGCGAGCGTCTTGTTTGTGCATGTTTTCTATCAAATAAATTTGAATTAATAAGGGTATTAAAAATCAATAATACAATGGCATATCTCATAAGTAGTGGGGGAATGTGTGATTCTCCTCAAACATAATACATACAGGATGTTGTTTCAAAACCTTGAGTA